ACTATATATATATATATATATATATATATATATATATAGAGAGAGAGACACACACACGCATTCTAAGAAACACTTCCCTCCTCTATAACCAATCGTAAGCGGTAAATGGAAGAACTACAGAGCCATCATTTAGAACTATGCATGTGCAAATGATAGTGTGTGCAAATCCATGTTGAAATTACGAAAAGAACACACAATATCAAGGTGTAAAGTGAGTCTTTGATTGTGATTCTCCGCATAGAGTTTAAAACATGACACGGCAAGAAAATAAGATCATATGCATGAGTCTAGGGTTCAGCAATGTTGACACTGCAAAACTAGAAATGCACCAAAATGCATGCAACATACTAATTTTAATGGATAGCACAAACAAAATATTGAATGTAGGCAAAGAGACTTGAACGGACTCCATAAACATTACTGCATCTTCTAAAAGGAATCTTTTGTCAAAATATGAAATTACTAAAATTATTTTCCATGCATCTTGTACCCATTATCTAGCACTCATGACAAATAGGTTACTAATACCTCTCACTTTTAGTTCCACATCGGGGATTTTCAAGAGTTATGTGGGGAGGGTGGGCTATAAAAAAGCCATATGGGAACAAGACATTAGGGTGAGTACTTCACGTGAAGGTGGAAAGTGACCCACAGAGGTAGGCCATTACACGAGCAGGGTGGTCACTCTTCTTATAAAAAAAAATCAACTAGAAATTTAAAAAACAAAAAATAAAAAAGTAACAGAATAGGGAACTGGGCAGTTCGGTTGGGCTCACATGCCTGGTTCCCTAACAGAACTGGCTGGTTCGGTTCCTAATATATGTAGGGAACTGGTCCTTTGAGAACTGATACGGATCAGGTGATTCCAAATCCGTATCAGCATTTTTTTTAAATACTGGTTGTAAACATTCTAGTGAAATAATGCAAACAGCTGAAAACAAAGAAAAAATTGAGTCACTAACAAGCCACATGAGGAAGTTAACCTACCAAACGAAAAGATGTACCCAAGAGTTCTCATTATTGGAAGAATTGCAATCGCGCACTAATCAAATAGCCAAAAAGCATCATATCATGGGATGGGAACACCAATCAAATAGCCAAAAAAGTATCACATCATGAGAACGAAAACGTAAGGTGTTCGTCAGTAGAGGTGATTATCCAAAGTACCAAGAGGATATCCTGCAGAACTTGGAATTTAACACACCTGAATCCTGAGAACTTGGAATTCGGCAGACTGTCAATCACTGGTACCAAATCCTTAGACCTTGCTTCAATAGTGCGAGTTGGAACCCTTTCAATTTCAATTTCCTCATACAAGTCATTTAAGTTTTCCATTCTCACATTGTCCATCAGAAACACTTGGAAGTACATCTGGCAGATAGTTTAAAAACAAAAATCACTAAAATAGAAACCTACAACACCACTAAGAAACCCAAACATCTCTAGAAGCAATCTCCATCCCAATGAGCAAGGAGGCAGAATGGTACCTCAGGTCTGACCCATATAGGTGTTTGTGCATGATGCATTTGCAGTTCAGCATTAGAGATATACAAGTGGTGCTTCTCCTCAGATGTAAGCCTCTCTCTCTTGGGCATACCACTATTAGTAGGGTAGACAGTTGCACTATTTTTGTACCCCTTAGGTAGAAGTTTATAGCTGTCTCCAGATTCGCCGTAAATGTCAACATTTTCTTCCTCTGCTGCTCTGTTTTGCCTGTGAGAAACATTCCATTTCCAAAGAGTCTCAATGACCAACCTCATATCTTGATCTTGACCTGATTCATAGATATTGCCAGGACCCGAAGCATCAGATACGGTCTTTAACCTCTCTTCTCCAGGTGTTAGGCGTAATCCATATTCAATGACAAACCCACATGGAGAAAAGACTAATAAGTGGTGTTTTATTCTCGAATCCAAATATGACCCACTATTACAGTCGTGAAAGGAAGAAGCAATAGCACCAGAAAGGGCATTATTCACCCTTCCAGTGGCAGCAGCAGCAGCCCCATTCACAGTAGCCCTCCATCCATTATTCCCATTCCTTATTCGGCTCACTGCCGACAAAGTGATTGGAGAACCAGGCACAAAATGATTATGCTTTGAAGAACATGAGGTAGGTGGCCATCGAACCCCAGGCCTGGTAAATGAAAACATTCCATCATGACCACTGTTGACCATAGTAGCCTCATTTGACTGTGGACCCATGTTTCCACCAAAAGGAGAAATTGCAAAGAGATGGCTCGTTCCCTTGGAAGAACTGATCATAATCCACCGACTGTCATCGCTAAAACTGATGTCCTGGATAACCTGTTAAGTGTTAAAACTCAATATTAAACCACCAATACAGTGAAAAAAAAATATAGATACTCAAAACTTTGTAACAATAAGACACCACCATATTGCTAGAAATAGGATACACAATTGGTTCATATACCGCATTTGTAAACCCACGTTGGAGCCTATAAAGATGAGTATATGATGGGAACAAGTCAAAGACAGGGGAATCTCCAAGGGGAGGTGGCATGATTCGAAAAATGTTAATGTTGTGTCCTTGAACTGAAGCTGTAACCAGTAACGTCCCGCTTGGATCAAAGCATAACGCTGAAATAGGATTCTTGTGGGCCCTAAATTGTGTAACTACAGACTTAGAAATGATATCTCTGATGATGACCTGTAAGGAATAAGAAAAAGGCCAACCAATTTATTTGAGAACAGATGCAATATTGAAGGGGTAACCACAAGATTTAAAATTTTCATAGAAGGGCAACATAACCAGAATGAAAGAAAACTTCCAAGTGAAAAGTGTAGAAGGTAACAGCACTGAAAAGTAATATATAGCTAATACAATTTATGTATCTCAATAGAAAAAAGACAACCATAAACAAAACCCAGGAACTTGCCCTACTTAAAATAAATAAAGCATGGTGCTTACCATTCCAACATGTTCAGCTTCAATTGCATGTCCAACGATACCATTTGATCTGCAGTTAGAGTTCACTACTCTATAAGAATTACTACAGTCAGGAAGAAGATCAGAGCAATACTTGGACAGCTTCTTATAACCCATATCACCAAGCGTAACCATACCAACAGCAATTTGCTTGCTTGATTCCTTTGCGTAGCGTACAACCAAGCTCCCATTTGGAGCAGCCGATGGATTTGGAGCAGGAGCAACACGCCCTGTATTCGAATTTACAATAACAGGACTTCCACTATAAGCCAGCCACCTAGTACCCACTGCAAGGGGACCATAACCCATTCCCAAGCCTCCAGGGCCATGGCACCCAGATGTTATAGGGTTGCTGACCACAATATATACACTCTCAATGGTTGCAGCATCAAAACAATGAACCTACAATGACAACCCATTTTGTCAACTGGATTACCTGATTTTTAGCAGAGAACTTCACTTTGCGAAAAAATTGAAGTTACTGACCTGAGCTGTTTGAGCAATAGCCACAATGCGGGGACTGCATCGAACCGAGTAAACAGCTGACCTGAACTTCAAAGCATGTACATAAGAATGAGACTTCACAGAATAAAACTGCAGCACTGTAGGTCCAATGTTGTTCCCATTTCCAAGCTCAGGGTAGCCACTGGCACTCCCATCGCATGCAGACCCAAACCCAGCTTGAATATTATTACTTGCATCCCCGACAACAACCAGCAAGGGTCGAACATCAGCAAATTTATCTTCTGATTTTATAGAAGCGAGCGGCTTCTGAAGCATTTGAAGAAATGCAACAGGACCATCTTGTTTTGATACTAATTCCCGCACATCATTGGATTCCTCAACATCCCAGACCTGAAAACCAGTTCTATATCCCAACAAAAGGACCCTACGGGTATAACCACTCTCGCATTCCAACTTGTCAAACCCTGCCCATCGCACCTGTCATAAATATAGCAAACGCTATTTAAGTACAAACTGATGAAATATGGCCATAGAAATCAGACGATTTGAC